CAAACCAGTTAAAGCGTAAACATCCTCTAATGTAGGTGCTAACTCCCCTTATCGAGCAATAAAGGTGTAAGAATTGGAACACCAACGAGAAAATGTCACACTCAACCATGATGGTTCTCTCTTCACATTCAACCCAATACTAGTCGCTATGGTGCCATAAACGTTGACATTCTTTAAAGTCTCCCTAAAAGAAAGATCTATCAGCACTTCCTCAGCCCAAATATTAGAACCCCCACCATTCTTACAAAAAGCATAATTATCGTGAGCTGGAAATGCTTAGGCCGTGCTCTATGTGCAACCACAAAATAGATTTGGGAGCTAGCATCCCCTCTGCTCCCTTTTCTGCTTCTGGTACCCCCAATAAAATCTGAGATGGATTGACAGCTCCATCGTCCGACCCTCGTTGCCAAAACTTATCCCCAACTCCAAAATAAGGAGCACGAAACCAGTGTTTGAAGGAAGGCACTTCAGAAGACTTCTCACTGCTTGCCTTGCCTGGTAACTTCTTGGTAGGCTCATTTGGCAGACAAACAACAATTTTCCCTTTCATCTTGAACAATCAACCTCTACCTACATCATTCCAAATTGCTGCAAGTAAGTTTCCCATACATAAATCGTACTTACAAAAGAATTATACTCAAGAATTGTGCTTTGAACAAAAAAAAAAAAAAAAAAAAAAAAAAAAAAAAAAAAAAAAAAAAAATTGCTCTCTGCTTTCCAAGATGATGAAGACCAACGAAGAGCGAGTTGTTAGCTTTAAGTATATTATTAATTTTTAGCAGTAAAGTCAACAAATGGAAGCCTACAAAATGGAGCCCACATGTTGATACCTTTAAATGTACTTTTATGGATTTTTGAAGTCACCAAGTTTTTGGCTCTCCAACATGGCGGATCAAATTCTGGCTCCCAACATGGCGGATCAAATTTGGCTCCCCAACGTGGTGGATCAAATTTGGCTCCCCAACGTGGCGGACCAAGTTCTTGACTCCCAACATGGCGGACCAAATTCTGGCTCCCCAACATGGTGGACCAAGTTCCTTGACTCCCTAATATGGCGGACCAAGTTCTTGGCTCCCCAACATGGTGGACCAAATTTTGGCTCCCCAACATGTGGTGGACCAAATTATGGCTCCCTAATATGGTGGACCAAGTTCCTGGCTCGCCAACATGGCAGACCAAGTTATTGGCTCCCCAACATGACCTCACCAAGTTCCTAGTTCTCCTAATTCTTGGTTCACCAATGTTTAGAGCTCTAAATACACTATTCCCATGTGTTGATGGCTCAAAATATATTTTCATTAATTTTTCGTCTTCTGTTTTTGTGGTTCTCTAACGTGGCGAAGAATAATGAAGTAGATGGCTCCAAATATATTTTCATTAATTTTTCGTCTCTCCAATTTTATGATTCTCCAATATGGCAAAGAATAATGAAGTAGAGCTCTCCTTAGTAGAGCTAGCTCCTAAACTTCTCACTAAAATTTGGCTAAGTACAAAAAAAGAAAAAAAGAAAGTGGAGCCCACATGGTGATAGCTCTCCAATTTCATAGCTCTCCCACAAAGTAGAGCTCTCAAACTTCATGGCTCTCCAGGATGGCGGACACAAACAAAGTAGAGCTCTCCTTTAGTAGAGTTGGCTCCCAAAATGGGAAAGTTAACAAAAGAGTGGAGCCACATGATGCTAGCTCCTAAATATTTTACTATTAATTCTTAGAGCTCTCTAATTTCATCGCTTTCCCACAGGATAGAGCTCTCCAATTTCATGGCTCTCCAGGATGGCAGATTCCAACAAAGTAGAGCTATCCTTTAACAGAGTTGGCTCCCAATTTTCTCATTGAATGTGCTAACTGTCCAAAAGTATGGAAAGGTTATTTGGGCGAAAACCAATCTTGTGGGTGGGGCAACAACTCGTTTGCGACATTATTGGAAAGAGATCTTTGCTGTGTTCAAAAGTTTCTGGAAGGTGGTATTGGGGATTTAGAGGTTGTGTGCATTTCATCGGATATCAAGCTATGTCAGCCGCACGTGAAGGGTAGGACTTAGGCGGCTAGGTGTGAGTTGACCTGGTTTGCAAGCTTGGAGTTGCTTTCTGATGTGTTAAGTCGGGTGAAGGTGGTGGTCGAGTTGTTTTTCTTGATTTTCTTCCTTGTTATGTTTTTCTTATGTACCTCGAAATTGAACACTTTGTTTCTTCAGGTATAGAAGTCAGCCGTCCTTCATGATATTTGTAGTGCGCCTTGGGCGGGGTGTGTGCCTTCTGAAGAGGAGAACTCTGTGGATGATTTGCTTCCGCGTCATCGATTGTGGAGACAAACTAAGGCTAATGGATCCAATGATTCTGAAAGTGAGGGTGATGATGGGGATGGATTAGAGGCTAATCTGAATGCAAGGGATGGCGATGTTGTCAGGGTTGCATCTGTGCGGACAAATGTTCCCACTGATAGGATGAGATCTCAGGTTGTTGTGCCATATGTTGAGAATAGAGTGACTTTTGCGCTTCCTCTGCTGCAATTAGGTCACCCGATGGTACATTTAGTTGGGCTTGAGGGGGTCGATGGTAATGATCCGGTTGGTCGATTGCCTTTGGCTGATGTTCAGTCTTGCCTGCCTTTCAATGGAGTCCCCACCGTCTCTTTATTTGGTGTGAGTAGCAGTTTGTCATTAGTGGATACTCGGTCGTTGACCTCTAGGAAGATGGTGGGCACTTCAATGGCCTGAGATCACTGGAGGTAGAAGAGGAGAAGACCAAGGCAGACTTAGAGAGGAAGGGGGTGGCAGTGAGAGACCTTGAACACTTTGTATATGTTGTATGATTCTTGTTGCGCTTGTTATAATTGTGGCTACACTTATGATGCCGTTATATAGACTCCAGGAATATTGGAGTCCAAGCAACCTCAAGACAGGTGGCAAGTTCTCCTCAACTCGACAGGAGGGTGATATTTGTCCTACTAGCTGTGTCCTATGATTTAGGTCGTTGGGAAGGTTGTATCATAGGAGCTGCAGGTGTAGGTATGATGTCTTGAGAGGCATATCATATATGCAACAGGTGTAAGTGTAAGGTCAACATCCCCTTTCTCTAAGTTAGGTCATGGTGGAATTGTCACTGCAGGGAGACAGTTACACGACTTTGACGATCATGAGGTTTTAGCATCTAATTCACAATCCTCGAATGATCCCAAGCGAGAGTGCCTAGGTCTTGCTCCTAACATAGGCATCTTAGCATCTTAAGCAACTAAGTAAACATAGATGGGCCAAACGTAGGTGAGGCAAACATAGGTGAGCCAAGGGTCCAACTATGTTGCTATGGAGCTGGGGTGAGTGGGTAGAGAATATATTTCTTATGAGTAATGAAGGGCCATGGAGAGCCTAGGTGAGCTGTGATCCTGTTTTCATAGTTCATGGTATGCATGCCCCCGCTTAGGCTAGGCATACAACCGCCTCATCGTAGTGCCTCAGGGGTTTGCCACATGGAGGTGTGATGGTGATGACGTGATGCCCGTAGGGCTCACCATGTGCCAAGCACGATATAGATACCCACAACTGACAACCATGAATGTAGTTTTTATGAATTTTATCAAGAAATTGTAAAGGCATGATTGTGCGCTTTAAGTGGTTTAAATTTTCAAATTGGAGTGCTCAATGTCTCCCTGAGCTTATTTGATGCACATGGTTTGTGAGCTGGTGATTTTGTGCATCCACAGGGATTAGTATTGACAAAATAGGAAAAAGATCTGCATATTTGAATTAAACATTTCAGCTGGAAGTTGTCTTGATATAATTATATGTGATCAAACATGTTATATTGAGAAATTCAATGTGATTTGAATCAATTCATTTACTGGGTAGTACTGAGGAAGTTGTAGTGCATAAATGACTGAGGTGGAAATAAATCTTGGTTGGGGAGAACTGGGGAACATAAGATATAAATGAGATTTCTATGAAAACAAGGTCAGTCTCCTGGTTGCTGAAAAACTGTGGAGATTTTTTGTTTAGGAGTAGCGTGTACAGATGGAAAAGTAATTTCAATATGGAATGTTAGATTTCTGCATATTTTATTAAGAATAATGCTTGGGACCCCCTTTTGGGGGTCACCCCCTCACCCCCCTTTGCCACGTGGCAGGGGGTGATTGGAGGAGCAGGAAAAAAAAGAAAAAGAAAAAGAAAAGGTAACCAATGAGAGAGAGAGGGGGTCAAAGGGGGTGGGGGGAAAAGGGGGGATGAATCATTACTCTTTTATTAATGGAAGTGTTGGTGTTAGTAATTTTTAAAATCTAAAGAATGAGAACGTATAAATATATGATATTTTGACATGTGTCCAATAGGTGTTAGAAGTGCCCGACGAGTGTTGTGTCATGTTGGTGCCTGACATGACACACGTGCTTCTTGGGTTACTAAATTAGTTGTCATGTTGATAAGTTTAACTGAATCTTGTGACTTGAGAAACATTTTCTTCTTTCGTTTTCATGGGACACTCTTCTCAAAGCTTTTTGACCTCTGCAGTCAAAAAAGAGTAGATGCTAATACTTGTGGCAAGAACTCTACTGTTAACTACAAGAACAAATGACATTCTAGTACCTTCACAAAAATATGGTGCTTGCTATAATTTCTGGGATTAAAACATTGTTCTTTATTGAAAGACTAGGAACACATGATATATATATATATATTTTTTTGGGAATTGTGAATTTGGATAGAAAACGCTGACAGATTTGTAGAAAGAATACTTAATGTCATAAAAGGGGAACAAGGCATTTGAGTCATTCTAAAGCTTATAAATGTTTGCAGGAGTTTGGCTAATGGTTTCTATATGGGATAAATTTCTGCGTGCTTGTGCATTTTGGAATGTCATAAAAACAACTTCTTCTACATATGCTCTAGAATTAGCTCACAAATTCTATTGTGAATTCTTATTCTTTTGGCGACTTGTTTGGAATGCTTTTGCTGATCTTGATCTAGGAAAACCTCCTCATTTGGTGCTCATAAGGAAATTATGTGTGGTTCAGGCAAAGAAGGATGAGATGGAGTACAAATTGCAACGAATTCCTTTCCTTGAGGAGCAGGTGAGAAAAGTAAGAGAAGGGGGAAAGCTTTTGTCGATGGACATAGAGAGACTATTGCTGTCTGAGGACAATCGGTTTGATTTTGTGAATGAGGTGGCAGCAGAGGCCAAACAGTATGTTGAGAACAATCGAGACGAGTATGGTGGAAAGAAAGCCATCCTTCATGTGCTAAGTAATCGGATGAATGATGCTGGGTTTTATCGTCCTGAGGCATATATGGAAGATGACCCTTACAAGCCGGGTCCTAATTATCTAAGAGAAGAACTTTGAAGGGGGTATACACTATACAATACACATTAATTGTTAACTGAAGTATGAAATTTGTTGTTTTACATAAATGTATTTCCCATTTATAGCAAGTTTTATGCCCATATTACAAAACGAATTAAGCTATTCAAGCTGGACTTGTGTTTGTAACATTAGGAACTCATTCGAACTTGGCTTGTTATAAAAGTACATGAAGTCTGAATACATCAAAATAAACTTCTGAAAAAAAACTCAGACCAAGAAAAAGAAGAAGAAAAATAATGTCTTAGTAAATTTTTTGTAGGTTTTTTTATACAAGTGGCACTTGTAGCAGTTCTTTACTCAAATGTGGGTTAAGCATGACTTATATATATATATATATATAATTATTATAGTATTATCATTTTTGTAGAATTAGGAAAGGCCTTTTAGTGCCCTTGAATTTAAAAAAAGAAAAAGAAAAAGAAAAAAAAAGAATTAAACTTGAAAGATTGCAAATCAATGCAACAGTCTAAAAAACATTGTATTACATGAGAATCATTTTATTGTAGATCTGACCTGTCATAAAAGATTTACACTAAATACTGGATATGACTTGCACCATATACACAATGTACTCCATAAAAATGAAATTTGTTCATCACTGTGCAGCTTATTTGAAATTTTCCAAAAACACAACAACAAAAAAAATTAAATTAAAGAAGTCAGAAAAAAGAAAAAAAGAAGAAGTGCATCTTTTGAATAAGGATTCTCTAAAGTGCAGACAAGTTCAAATCTAGACTGGACAGTGTTGTTTGGATTCATGAAACATACACATCATATTTTGATAATGCAATCCGTTCTGTTCATTTTGTAGGCCCTTATGTATATAAAAAAGATTAATCTGATAATTGTAACCATTTTATTTTATAATATTTGACTTCTAAAAAATAGACGACTAATATAATTTTAAAATTAGTGTCTATTTCTAAAAAAAAATGTGATGAAATAATCTATCTTTTTTCGTAATCTACAGACATAGATTAACAAAATAAATAAATTAAATAATTAAAATAATGCCTATCATAAATCTCAAGAATCCAAACAATATTGTCGAAGCAAAAATATTCTTATAATTACTCTCAACGAAAAAAGTTACTATGCACTTATCATCACTCAACTCAATTATTAAAATAAAACTTATGGTAAATCTCACGAATCCATTCAATACTGGCCAAACAAAAATATTCATGTAGTCACTCTCAATATGCTCTGTCATCACTCAAATCTTCTCCCTCCTCCCCCACAAAGTAAAAAAAACAAGGGTGAGAACTCTGCATCCATGAGACTTCAAGCTTTAACGAGCAACACTAACATGGGTTGAAACCACCATTATCGTCTTGTGTCAACCCTTATGTCCACTTTGTTTTAATGCTCAATTCAACCCACATGCTATGTTTACATTCCTTTAAATACATTCCTTTAACTTTACTTGAAATATTAATTACTTCTTATAATTTTGAAAATTATATTATGTCTTTTTAATTTTTAATTGCATAAACAAATAATACATTTCAACCATAAATCAATTAACAGTTTTTAATAATGTCAAAAATATATTTCAATTAACAATTCTGATAATTTTATTGTCATATAAGAGGCTAGTTATGAATTTCACTTTTTTTATTAACTCTATTAAATGAAAAATTGATAAGAGAATATTTGTTAAATGACAAATTGATAAGAGAATATTTATAATTTTTAAAACCACAGAGAATAATATATTTTAAAAAAATCTCAAAAAATATATTTGTAATTTATCCTACATTTCAAAATGAACTACATTTAATTCTTTTGTCACTTCTATACTTAGTTTAATTTTTTTTAATTAACTCTGTTAAATAAAAAATTGATAATAGAATATTTGTTAAATGACAAATTGATAAGAGAATATTTATAATTTTTAAAATCACAGAGAATAATATATTTTAAAAAAATCACATAAAATATATTTATAATTTATTTCAAATTTCAAAACGAACTGCATTTAATTCTTTTGTCACTTCTAAACAGTTTAATTATTCAAATTCCTCTAAGTCTCCCAAGTCCCAACCTTAGTTTCTACGGAAAAAAAAAGTCCAAACCGTAGTACACCTTTCACTTGTGCACCGACATCCTCTTCATATTCATCATAGTAATCAAAAATTAATTCTGTTCTCTCAACAAAATAATAATAATAATAATAATAATAATAATAATAATAATAATAATAATAACAACAATTCTGTTAGACTTGTTCCGCTCATAAATTTAGATAAAAATTTGAAAAAGATAAAGAGGAAAAGCAAGACAAATGTGAATCAAATATATATTAAATTTTTTCTCTATTTTTATTTTTTTCAAATTTCAAATCAATTATTCAAACACAACGCTAGTCTTCTTGCTCAGAAAATATCATCCAAAAAATGTTGGTGCAATTTAGATTGAATTGGTGTAATGTGGACTCCACATTTAGAATAAATCTAAATCATATATTAATATTTCTAAACAAAATTTTTAAGTATGTATTACTACTGAAATGAATTTGTCTGCACATTTTGAGTGCCTTAATAAAGAGTGATATTACATATCATGAAAAGCCTTCATAAAACTAATTTAAGGGTGGAGAATTTTCATGAAGACTTTTTATAATATTTATTTCATGATACCTAACATTAAAACATAAAATTTGAATGGTTTAAAATTGTAGGCGTACATCCAAAAATAATCTCACTTAAAATTGTAGGTTTTATTGTTTTAAACTAATCAAAACTCGTATTTTGTTCGCATTGTATTTTTGCAGTTTATTAGAAAGAGTTCTGTTAAGTGTGCTATACCCATAGTGGTGTGTGTGAGTGTAAATTAAATGTATAATTAAAATAAACAACAAAATAAAATAATTCAGAAAATAATTATATAAATTAAATTATGAATTAAACACTTACAGAAATTAAAGTCGAGTTTTGTGATTGACACAATCTCCTTGAAGTAGATTTCGCCCTCGCTCCGATACTTCGAGTTTTAACCGGCGTTTACTTCCCAGGATACAACGACTAACACTTGAATTTGCAGCACTACAAAATCTGATCTGGCGAACTAAAACTCTATTATGACTCTTTTTTTTTCCCTAAAATAAAATGCAGAACAGATATAGAAACAAAAGGACGAAAAGAGGAAGAAGAAAGAAGAAAAGCTCTCCAAAAATTCGATGGGAATGAATGCCGGATGGCCAACTATTTATAGGAGGAATGATGACTATTCAAACAGGTACCAACAAGAAAAACCTGTTCGAAATAAGAATAGATTTGTTCAGAATAGAAACAGATTTGTTCGGGTGGAAATTGCACCTGTTCGGGTGGACTTTTTGAACCTGTTCAAATGTGGACCTTATGAACCTGGTCGAATGTATTTGGGTGAAGAAAAAAAGACTAGTCCAATTTATTTTGAATTTTGAAACCAAAATTAAAAATAAATAAATAAATAAATTACAAAAGTTTTTAGTCAAAAAAGATAAGTATTTGGCCGGACAAGCCCAACCCAACCTCACACCTTGCACCTGCGCCCAAGCCCAGCCCAGCCTGCAAGCACGTGTGTTTTTTATTTTGGGTCCAATGGGTCTAGCCACTTTACCCATAACCTCATTCTTCCACAAACTTGGGTATCCCTTGGGGCCTATCTCAAGCATCCCAAGCTAAGGTATATAAACCTATTCAAAACCTTGAGCCTTTCCAATGTGGGACAAGCACATTTCACAAATGTGTGGGAAACCCACCTAAATCCATTTCCACGAACCCGAAAATGTGCATTGAATTCTCATTCATTTGGAAATGGTTTTGAGCAACCAAATACACGGTTTATAAACTACGCAGCATTAAACATGAACCCAATAAAAAACATTAAAAATAACACTTGGGTCCTACCTTAATTAATGCTCAAAGTTAGCAAAAAATAAGGATTTTGCAAAGCCATTTTCCAATAATCCCCCACATGAATGGAATTCACGAGAACGGATTGCAACAAGATGTAGACAACGAAAGAGTACATTAAGAAGATACACCATATCAAGATAGGTAGCTTTTGGCTTTGAACCTTCTCTAGCGAAAGCCTATCAGACTTACTGGCTAACTAATGGACGTGATGCCTTGAACTGTTCAGCTGTTTTGTAAGCCAAGACAATAGACTACACATAGTATATTTGCAGACATAGTTTGGTTTTTACGGTTGTGTTCATTTTGGCCCTGAATAATGCCTGGTAATTCATGAGTGCTCTAGAGAATTTAGTCTTCTCAATTCTCACAGAACCGGCCAAGTTCACACTCATATAGGTGATTTCTTATTAAGAGTATCCTGCTATATCCCACTTGGATGTCCAAGCTATAAGAATCATTAAAAGTAAAGCTTATCCTACTAACGGTGCAAGTATCATTCTTCTAATCATAGAAATGGGTAGGAGTAAACCTCTTTAGTGATACGTGAAGTCATTTATAATTCAATTGTCCTTTAGAACCTAGATCTTGAGATCTCTAGTCAACTAGGTTGGGTTGCCATTATGGCGACTTTTAAGTAATAGGCTTTAATCTCATTCCCCTCGATAAATGGTACACTTGTTCTCTGGCTAACCCTTTAGTCAATGGATCCGCAATATTCTCTTTTGACTTTACATATTCTATGGAAATTATTCGATGTGAGAGCAAATTCCTAACGGTATTATGTCTTCAACGAATGTGTCGAGACTTACTGTAGACATTCCTGAATGTCCCGGGAGAAATCCCGTTTTGTTCATTTGAGCTCACTACAGTTCGGACTCAAATGTCACGGTTCTTAATCTGATCTCACAATGTGTGATGTGAGATTGATAAATCACCAAAGATTCTAAATCTGGCAAATCATTTTGGAAAACTGATTTTTAGAAAGAAGTGCCAAACATGGACTGCTTTGCCAGATACAGAGTTGCCACCTAAATATTTTATTTTGGAGAAATTTAAGAAACCCTGACTCGTGCCTAAGGCCACGTGTCCGTCATCACCAAAGTTGCCTCGACTCGAGAACTTGGGTACGATTGGGGAAGGTCAGCTATGAGTACCCCCGCTCGCCCGATCAAAGATCGGCCACTACTAAGCATGATATCGAGTTTTGAAAACATATGTGCTCTTATTTCAGTTATTAGCCTAGAATTACTATATGATGCGCACAACATACAAGTACAGATTAGGTCGCCTGAATTGG